CCACATTTATACTTTCCCATACTTTTCAAACTTCACTTTTTACCGCTTCTGTTGCGTAAGGAATACCACTCTTGCCGAAAGATAACGATGACCTAGGAAAGCGCATTATAGACGATAGCAACTTTCAGCCCATTTCCTATTAAATATTACGGTTTTGTTCTGTTGCGGGAGATATTACCGAAGCGGTGCACACCTGAAAAGAATGGAAAAAAAGAAAGAGCGAAAAAAAGAAAAGCAAAGCAAGTAATGCCCAGCCAAAGTTGGAAAGTAGCTTCTGCTTAGGACAAGCATACAATCACTGGCATATTCAGTAACAGAACCAATAGTTAGGTTATACATATCCGTCAATTTTTCGAAAATATGCATATACAACAGTTCATGCGGATTCTGGATGTTTATGCTATTACTGTTAGCTACCGGTCCAGCGTACGAGGGCGTGAAAGTTTTGGCAAGAAAATCGCCAATTCGGGAACCACAAAGGCTAGAAAGCTGAAATTTTAAGGGGATTTTTCTGGCCATGTGTTGCACAGTTGCACAGTTGAATTCCTGAACTGCGAGGGCCAGTATATCACAAATCCTAGTTGCTGGAACTTCAAGCGATCTTGCTACAGTACGAAATACTGCAAAAATGCATGATCGCACGGGCCTGCCTGATGCGTGTCGTCAAAGATTTTAATTCTCAACCCACATTAGACCTGCCCTGATGAATGCATCTTGTTTCAGACACCCGGATGACCAAGAGAAAGTGCAGAAAAGTCGTGAAGCAGATGATAATTATGTGCAGCAGTTGCAAAAAGTTCAAGGCAATATAAGTCATCTGAAAGCACACTACAGGAAGACAGCGGATGCTACCAGACAATTGATTACTATACTGGAGGATCACTTTGACAAGTGCGCCGACATGACGGAAAGTCGCTTAGAGCACGCCAAAAAGGCGTAATGATCTATCTAGCACCTGCGTTGCTTGCCAGACTCCGATGTAGTGTGCCACCTCATTTTTGCAAACCTTTCAGAACCTTTCATTTCAAAACGCACAAAATCAGTCAGTCCAGATGAGATATTACTTTGCTCGGCTGC